GAGAGAGAGAGAGAGAGAGAGAGAGAGAGAGAGAGAGTGCGTGCGTGCGTGCGTATTATTCTTTATGCTGTACGCTGTGTGTGCACATCACATCCGTTTAAAGACGTTGTAATCCAGACTGCTGTTAATTATGTGATCACACTGTTGGTTGAAGGAGTGACGGCGGCCAGCAGGGAATGTTGCCTCTAAATGTTGCCTCTATTGTCCAGGCCAAGAAATATATTGATATCGTTGATACATCTGGAGTAATGTGTCTAGATAACCAATACTTTTGGGGCATTAGACAGTTTATCATTTTATATAACAAAGGCAATTGGGCAGGTCATGAAGCAACACCTGAAAAAGTAATATTACACTCGGTAAGAGAATGATGTTTCCACACCACTGTACTGTTTTAACTCATCACGGCAGCGCAGAGGGAACATGGTGTCGGAGGTTAAGGGCTAATTGTGCAGCAATCCAGAGGCCGAGGCAGTCGCCCCGCTCCGCTCCGTAGGAGCAGCAGGGGAGGTTATTATTGTGTAATTGTTAGTGTTGCTTCGATGGATGGCTGGCGGAGCGTGAAAGGGGCGCCCGTGCCGGTCGGTACAAAAATCGATACACGGAGCTGTGAGGAACAACAGAACGGGAACATTCTGCACTTCCTCTGGGCTTTAATGGCGTATCATCACAGAGCCGGTCTCTGTACCTGCTGCTTCATCTCTGATCAACTCAATGTCCAAAACTGACAGTATCTGGTCATATACCGAGGAAAGGCTGATTCAGCTGAAAGCACTTTAACTCCATCATATTTAAGAACAAGGCACAATCTGTTATTTTAATTTAAACATAAAGATAGAATAAAGACTCACGACGCAGGAATGGACCCGCTGATTGACTGGTCTTTAGAACAAAGGACTAACTCTGAAAAAGACACTCTCAATATTTACATATGTTTGAGTTATGCGGTTAAAGATCTGTTTTTGTTTTGAATTGTCTAAACGCAGCAGTAATACTAGTTTACAGCAAACACAATGAATGCTTTATCTCAGAACGTTTGTGAAGATTTCTGTAGAGAATTACAGGTTGGCCCTTTTAATACATTTATTATGTTTATATAAGAATGCTGCTGAGAGAGAATTATGTAATAACGAATGCATGAATTAGCTTAATTAATTACCTAATTAGTACGTCTGGTTATTCTTAATAAGTGACGGTGATTAAAGCACAGCATTAGGTAACTTAAGTCCCTCATTTAAATAATTTCTCGCCACCGGCAGTTTATTTTTCGCATCTCAACTTTAGCCTCCAGCAGAACTGGTGTCATGTGGACCAGCCGGTCACGTACGAGCGTAGGCTGCTTACTTTCTCTGTGAACAACCCAGCAAAGCTCTCTAACACCTCTCACACTGTCTGGCACTCGGAGAATGCTGTTTCACATTATTCCACCCCGTGGGAATCTTCAAACACTTTCAGTTGCATAAGTGACTCTGAGGACAAAGTGGGCTTCACCACAGTCTACCTGTGTGTGTGTGTGTGTGTCTGTGCGTGTCACGGTGATGTGAGATGTGGATGAGTGGTTCCACTTGTTTGATGGAGATGAAATGTCCTGCACCTTCAGTACAAACAGTAAGGGGACTCGTTGGAAGAGGGTCAATGGGTTTAAAGGCAGCAGAAGGGTGAGCGAGTTTGTGTTTAGCCACCAGTCACCGTTGTCACATAATAGTCACATCGTTGATCAGACAGTCTGTGGAGTTTGACTTCTTTTGGTCTAATTCATGGTTGTCAGCTCTGATGTGCTCTGACATTTTCAAATGCGCACGGTTTAATTTTAAAGCAGTACATCAACGCTTATTGTCTCTGCTTTCTATATGTCACCATTGTGATGCATGATGCCTGATTTAGTTTAAAAAACGGCAGAGTCCATTCATGACAATCTGTAATTTGATTCACTCAATTTACACAATGGACTTTAGTTTGTGGTGCTCAAATGTCTCTAGTTTACTCAAAGTAAACATCATTTATAGCGAGAGATGTTGCAGTTCAATGTTTTAAATGCCATTTTTCAGTACTTTGAGAGCCTCAAACTAATTTCCATTCTCTTCAGTTCAAACTACATCCCCCATGTTGCTCATTAATGCTCACAGCAGAAGTTGCCTTTTAAGTTTGTGGCATCCTACTTTCGAATCTTGTAATTTCAACCCTGTCCGAACAGTGAGATGAAGTCCTCAAAAGGACATGCAGCCATGTGTTCTGATGCCATCCTTCTCCCTCCTCTGCCCAGTTTGTGGAGGCCATCAGCAATAAGCAGAGCGAGCTGGACAACTACATCGCCGAGGGCTACAAGAACGCTCTGTCCGAGGAGAGGAGGAGGTACTGCTTCATGGTGGACCGGCAGTGTGCCGTGGCCAAGACCAGCAGCGTCTACCACAGCAAGGTGAGGAGCAAAAAACTCACTGCAAATAGAAATTATATTGGTATTATTGTATTGTATTATATTATGGTATATTAGTATTGTAAACTGTGTACAGAATGTGCAAATGTCAGCAATCACATCTGGAAATGTAACCACACACATTTAAAACTGCTACATGAGCCAGCATGTTGCCTTGTTCCGTCTTTCTTTACCAAACACTGGTCGGCTCTGCATGTATTCCTCCATTATCATTCAGGAAAAAGTGTTCTGCCGTTGAGTCTCGGCTTTTTCATATGCACCAGTGCAGCCGGGAGATCACTCGTCAGGAGTTTATTATACAGGAAAGTGATACGAAAAGCATCTCCTCTCACCCCTTCACAATGGGGAAATGTGAGGAGGAGGAGGAGGAGACCTACTTCTGCAGGAACACTTGGTTCACTCACTGTGTGTGGGAGTGAACGTGTCTGAATGAGTGATTGATAGACAGCGGGAGGACGCACACAACACTAACTGCTGATGTGATGATGCATTAACAGGAAATGATTTAATTAGTCTTGAACTCGGTTGCGAAATACAGTTGAATCTTGAATAAATACTGTATGAGCAGATAAGTGGATTTAAGTTCTCTCGGTAAACAGTTACAGTATCTATGTCTAGGGCTTTTATTGTGAAAGGTAAGAACGGAAGGAGTGGATCTGGTCTGTGCTGCCTTTGTCAAGGTAATAAAGTTTGCCGTCTTGGTTCCGACCAAGCAGCCTCTGTGTTCTTGTGCGCTGTAGTGCACGCACAACCTGATTGGTTAATGCCTTTATTTGTGCGCAGAAAAATCAACCTCATTCTGGGAATAAAAACAAAAATCGATGCCTTTTACTGCATAACATTTGCATCCTGTGTGAAAGTATTCATGAAAAAACGGTTAGAAAAATATATATTGTCGTGCAAATGATCGCATGACAAAAGAAAGTTGTAAAAGCCTGAAGCCATAAAGTAAGTGTTGCTAAATGTTGGTTGAGTATTGTGAGGTGGTTGCTCAGGTGTTGATAGGCTACAAGCCCAGTACAGTGTACACTGAATAATGCTGCCCCCCCCCCCCCCCCCCCCGTCACTCAACAGCGTCTATGTTGACTTAAAGCACTGGGGATTTTTGGTCTCTAAACTCGCTTTACTTTCTGGGCAATTTAAAAACTGGCAACTCTCCCACATGCTGTGTGAGGGGAGAGTGAAGGAAAAACAACCACCGTCTGCTCCTCGGTTTTATTACCACACTGGTAAAGGCGGCGTCCCACCTACGCTCCGCCTGAGCTATTCAAAAGAGCAAACCGAGGTCGTAGTGACTCATCATTTCTACCAACAACACTGAGAAAGAATTTGTTGCACACACACAGAATTGGGATGAATGGGACCTCCATTCATTTCTATCAATCAAGCCTGAAAAGTAATGACCACAAGAACTTCACAATGACAGAGAACATATTATCTCTAACTAAGTGAGCTCAAAGCTATTTCAGATCATGACTCCCCGGTGATCATCCCGCCCACACCCTGACACCTGATGCTGCGGCCCACATACACTCAGCGGGGCCAGACAACCTTGGAACCTGTCCGTGTTTATCCTCCACACCCGCCCTGGTGGAGTTGAAACTGTTTGAGCAGCAGGTTCTCCGCAGCGTCTTTTACAATATTCATGTCTCAGGACTCCCTAATTTATGCGCCAACGACCAATGCAAATGAGAAACATCTTTATGTAACTGCCGACTGTATAATGTGTGGCGGAAATGTAACTCGACACTTCAACACCATCTGAGAGCTTCTCAAATGAGAAGAGGATTCCTGCCTCTCATCCTGCCTCTCATCTCTTGTGGCCTGCATCTACTGTGTGTCCCTCCCCTTCTCCCTGTCATCTATCGAATACTTCTGCTTCTATGAATAATGTGTTGCTGTGTGGATGTCCGTCGGGAAATTCCATCCACCATTTACAAGAGCTGATTTTTACGTTTATTTTCTATCCTGTTTTTCTGGGCAGATGTAAATGATTTATTAGCAACAGTTCAGTCTCTTACCCCTGCGTCTTCCTTCCTGCTTTCAGGGGAAGGAGCTTTTATCCCAGAAGATCCCGGTGTGGCAGCAGGCGTGTGCCGAGCCCAACAAACTGCCCGATCGAGCCATGTTCCTGGCCCAGCAGATGAGCGGTGTAGCGGGCGCCATGGTTCCCGGTGCTCATCATCCAGTCATCTCCGAGCCCATCCCTGGTGCTAAACCTCTGCCGGTACCCCCAGAGCTGGCAGCCCTCAGGGCCAGCGGGGGCATGGGACAGCAGGTGGGTTCCTCTACTGCCTTAAATCATGGTTGAGTCCTCCTGAGACCTTTTCTATGATGACAGACTGTGTTATGGGCTTCTGCATTGGGTCACTGGGTTTGTGATTGATTCACACACAAACTTAGTTTTAACCCCCCAACAGTCCATGAAAGGAGACCAAGTGAAGACAAAATGTCTTCCGTTAGCAAACGTAGCCACTTTCCAAACATGTCTCAACCCTCTCAAGGTAAAATCTCAAATTGGTCCTCAAAAAGATGGAGACACACACACACACACACACACACACACAGGTAATTGCTGTCTAATGAGACCTGGAATGTGTTGAGAGTTGTTGATCCCGGATGTGCCTGTTGCATCATGGGAGCCCTCAACGCATCCTCAGAAAACTCTTGTGAATGCAAATTAACTTGTTAGTGAGTCATGCTAATTAGCTCGTTGCCCAGAAGAGGCTTCATTCCCCACATCCTCGGGCTCTTTTACACCCAACCCCCCCCCCCCCTGCAGGCCTGGTTTCTGAAAAAAAGAAAAACTTTAAGATTTACATGAAGGAGTCAGTTTGTCTCGAGCTTTTAATTAAAACTGGTGCAGATTCAGTGGCGTTTTAAGTTCCCAGATTAAATACACTTTGAAACTCTTTGCAGTGTCCCAGTAGTCATTCCGTATGTTTATCTTTAAAGCAACATAAACTTTAATGTAGTCTTTTCATTAAACAGCACTCGCTGACCCAGATTCCTTCTCCACCTTGTTCATTATTATTAACGAGCTGGTGGATGTTACGTAACAGCTTTGGCTGATGTAAAGAGAGGAAGACTGTGTTTTAATTGCCTGCATACAAATTTGTATCTTCTTTGCAGAGGATGTTGGGAGGTGTGGAAGGAGGGATGCCGGCGATGAACGGCACAGCGGGCGCTCACGGAGGAGAGGACTACCACCAGTGGATGGAGGGCAAGGTGGCCCAGGGCAAGGCCTCACCACAGACGCAGCGGCACGGAGGGGAGGTCTACTCCAACACCCTGCCTGTGCGCAAAGTCGCCCCCGCCAAGAGCAAGACCACACTGAGTAAGGACACGCACTGTGTGCGGGGGTCAAAGGGGTTGGAAGGATGAAGGGAGCATAAGCGCCGGGGACATTTAATCGAAGCAGTTCATCGTTCAGTCTGCTTTTTATCTCAGTAAATATACTGAAGAGCATTTCTTAGAAAGCATCATTGCATTTCAAAGATCAGAGTCACTCCAAGCTAATGGAATACATCGGCCTTGATGTGACACACAACCTGTGCACTTTTAATAAGAAACAGGCCACAGCAAGCGGGAATAGTAGGAGATGTGATATAAAAAATGAGAAGCACTGATTATGAGTAAAAATAGATATAGGACACGAGCAGGTTCACAAAGAAATCGAGTCATTTGAAATTTCAGAAGAAAGCTGTTTTGTATCTATGAGTGCCTGCAGTGTGGTTAACTGGTGTGCAGCAGAAACAGACATATATGTAGGTACAGCAGGTACACATCATGTTTCACACTAGTCAACGGTGTCTATCAGAGAGAAGCAGACTGAAAGCTGTCCGTCTTCCTGTTATCTCCACCAGCGGAGACCCGCACGCTGCCCCGGTCCAGCTCCATGGCAGCGGGGCTGGAGAAAAACGGGAGAACTCGAGTCCAGGCCATCTTCTCCCACGCGGCCGGTGACAACAGCACCCTGCTCAGCTTCTTTGAGGGCGATGTGATCACCCTGCTGGTCCCCGAGGCCCGCGATGGGTGGCACTACGGGGAGAATGAGAAGACGAGGATGTGAGTGCGACTGCCAAATGCTTTTTTTTTTCAACAGATTTAATTTAACGTCCACCATATTTGGGACATAATGCTTGTTTTTTTATATTGCTAATATCTGGTGGTCCCTGACTTCTTCAAGGCGTGGCTGGTTTCCCTTCTCCTACACCCGGGTGATCTCTGATGGCGACACCAACTCCATGAGGCAACTTCGAGTACACAAGTATGTTTTGGAGATTTTACTTGAGTCCTAAAAATATTACTTTACAAAACATGAACCAATGGAATGTGGTGTAACTGAGCTAATCTATTTGTTTGTCATTCTTTTTGTATTTGAGGTGAATATTGACATCTGATAATGACACTTTATTATTTACTTTTTAATTTATAATGACATTAATTGGCTTCCAATCATAGCTGAGAATGAAAGAACCAATCATGAAAGTCCTTTACAATCAACAGCCCACTGCTCCCTGCAGACCTTCCTCATCAACACCCACGAGCTAAAACAGTTGTTCCTGATTTGGCCCCGGACAGATGTGCCTCCTGGGGACAACACGTTAACCTTTTCCTCATCTTCTGCTCACCTGTGTGTTTTCAGCCTCCACGGGAAGAGCAGCAGCACAGGCAACCTTCTAGAGAGAGAGGACATGGCTCTCCCCGTCCCTGATTACGGCATCCACTCCCGTATGGCGGCACAGAGCGCTGCTGCGCTGCATGGCAGACAACAACGCCCCTACAGTGTGGCCGTGCCAGGCTTCTCACAGGTAGGGGGAGGGAACACACACACTGGCATCTACCCACACACGCGTTCACACATGAGCTGAGCCGTCGCACGAAACCTGGCAAAGATCTGCGCTTTTCTGTCCCAGAAAGTTTGGAGGTGTCTTTTCCCGTACGTGCTGCTGACCTGAGATACACTGCAGAAATAGTGTTGCTTTGACAAGCTGTCTCTTCCTTTACCAGTACTCCGGGTTCTCTTGTCGCAAAGCTGGCAGAGAAAGCCCTGCTACATTAGCTTCTACAGACGCAGAAATCCGTTCTCCTTCACTTCCCATGTTCCAGTTTACAGAAGGTCGAGCGGCGCGTCTCAGATTGGAGAAGTCTGCCTCTGTTCCTGGCTGCCTCCGTCTCTGAGACGTCAGTTCGCCCAGACTGACTGAAAAAAAGAGGAGGCAGCCGTGGTGATGGAGGAGGGAGGGGGGGTTCATTTCTTCAAAAGGCAAAATCCGAAGTAGACTTATGCAACACTGAACCCTTCTCTATCAGCCAGCTTCCCTCCTACGCCTCACCTGGAACATAACATGTGGGCGATGCTTAATTGCTCAGCGGCCATGTAACAACTTAAACTGCTCCTTCCGACTCTCAGCTTTAGAGATGGAATCTCTGCTGACATTAAAGGAGAGCTGGGTTTTGTCTTCAGCCTCATGTGCACTTGAAAGTGTCCGGAATGCTTCAAAGTGATGACGTGTAGGTTGTTATACACAACTGTCAGAAGCATTTTCCTGAGTATATTTTGATATGCAGTTAAAACTTGCTTCATGTAGAATAATTGTCATCTTATTATGATTGTTGTTTTCACAGACTTTTAAAAAATGAATGCTGACTTGGAAGACCAGGCCATCAAAAAGATCAATAAAACGCAGTATTAAAGCCATAAGATCTTTTCTATTGTTTCTTGTTTGGTGTAGTGTAGTCGTACAGTTCATCGGTCTATCCAGCTGAGGCTGCTGCAGGAAGAGCCTTATTGGGTCACTGCTGAGATGTTGCTGTATCTCCTCTTCCATGTCTCTTTGCTGCCATCTGCTGGCGGCTGTGGTCGTTGCAACTTTCCAGTTTCCAGTGACTGTTTTAAAACTATTCATCGTGCAGGTTAAAAATGAATTTGCGTGACTAAATCTTTCGTCTGTCTTTGTCTTTACAGCAAGGGGTTGAAGAGTACGAGCCCCGCTTCCCCTCAAGGTAAGAACCACTTGTTGCAGTTAATATATAGGTTTTAAAAATGTACTGAAACAAAAATCCGGTTCAATTCAGTTCCAGTTCTGACAGTTCAAGCTGAAAATCATCCAAATTTAATATGTTGACAAACAATAATATGATGAGCCACTTGGAATGTAATTGGAAGTGTTTGTGGACGGGGAGCCGGTGAGGGATTGTGTCCTGTTGGCTGGGCTGATCTTCCATACTCCCTCTGAATGACTTAACCAGAACTGACTTGGAACCACGTTGAACCAGCTGCAGATGGAGAATTGAGGGATTGGGTCGTTTTGTGGCAGGTAGCCTATAGTCCAGACCCGCAAACACACAACCAGCAGAACACGCCACAACTTATGATTTGTGTTGTTTTCTTTGTGCTCTTTTCTGTTTGCATTCTGTTGTGTTTGCACTTGTTTGATAGGATGCAGTCAGTGATCATGGTGTTCAGTGTTTATACTGCATATTGGTTGGCTATCTCACCCCACACAGGACCATCTCACATAGTTTCCTTTAAAAAGATAAAGATTAAATTATAGGCATGATATTGGTTGATTTGGTTTCTGTCTTAAGCTTAAGTTGATTTAAGTTTTCTTTTTGTTCACTGATATCAAAACACTCGTGCTTTGGCCTCCCAGCTCCTCCCAGTGCCCCCCATGCCCCCCATGCACCATGCAGCTCCAGTACTGCTTCCACCTGCTAATTGCACCCACCCACCCAATCCCTAATAAGCTCACCCTGCCTCAAACCCTTCTCATTCATGTTTCATGTGATTTAAGCCAACCACAGTACCAGAGGTTGGTGTAAGTTAAGGTCAGATCAAGTCGAGTTATTTAGAGTGGGGGTTTATTTCTCATGTTGGGGGGTCGACGTGGTTTCTGCCTGGTTGTGTTTGCCCACCTGGAAGCCTCTCCCTCTCTTTGTCCACAGTTCCACAGAGGGCAAATTGATTTCGACAGTGTGAGGACAGACAGACAAACAGGCTCAGACTCAGCCTGACGATGCGATAGGACAGGCACCTCGCTGATCCCTTCCCTCACCCCCCTGCCTCCCACTTACAGCAATACACTCTCCCTGATTCAATCAATGCAAGGAAGAGGCTTTGGTCTGTATCTCCTCCCCTCTCTGATTTCTCCCCCCCCCCCCCCCATCCTGCTCTGTGCTGTCTGACTGGCCGGTAGCCACACCGGGCCACTGGTGAAGCCTCGGTGCAGAGCCACACCAGAACGAAACGGTCTCTGTGTGATGGACATTTTTCTCTGAGGAAAATGTATCTTCTGCTTGTCTTTCATGCATGTACGTTTCTTTTACATATTGCTGGGATTCTGTTTCCCACCAAAGGAACCTGATTTCCACACCTGGATCAGAACGACCATGTAAAGGATTTGTAAATCAGGGTGTGAGATGAATGATGTTGATCCCAAAGAGGATTTTCATGTAAAAAAAAAGAGCATTACAATCAATATTTTACTGGGTAGTTGAGTATTTACCAATAATTTCACCTTTTCATGCTGTGAGGTTTTGTATTCCTCTGAGATAAGAGGCCATGTATCACGAGTAGTGAACTAATGTAAATGTTTTAACGTATGGAACGGAGACAATGTGATGGGAATGCTACCTGTACATAAATGTGCCATTCAGAAGTGCTTGTCATAAAGTATCTATGATCAGTTCATAAAAAAAATGCACCTTATGAAAGTAATAATCTATATTTCTGACTTTCTGTAAACAAACCTACTGTAACGTTGTCAGTACCAGCCTTTGAGCTTCTTCTCTTGTGGAGGGACACTGTGCTCAGACCCAGGTGCTCGGGGTGCTTTGACTTTCTCTTGTGCTGTGTGAATATCATGTCAAGGCTGAATGGGGTCAACTGTGCTCCTCCCTCCATGACATGCACGGCTCTGAGGTGGTGTTAGTGCTGAAACCGCTGCTGGACAGAAAGTTGTGACATCATTTACTAAAATACTAAACGTTCGCCGGCTCCAGCGTCTTAAATGTGAGAATGTTATATTTCATTGTAAATTGAAGATCTTTGGGTCGAACACAAACAAATCAGCTTGAAGACGAGTTGGTGTTTTCTTTTAAGAGCATTTTTCAGACTAAAATAATCTTGTTTGGGAAAAAACAATCGGCTGATTAATTTATAATGAACATAATGAACAGTTGGGTTAACCATCGTTCATGCATGAACGAAAAGACGACTGGTGCTGTTGTTTGTTTTGATGCACATGATCTGAAAACGCTTTTCATTTGCAACCATTTCAAATCTTTTTCTGCACATTCAGACATATTACAGTGCCTCTTCAGTGGATTCAATTACTCAACTTTTTACAGCACTATTATTGTCAATAACAAATATGCTGATGAACTTCTGGATCCAGAGATTCAAATGAGGCATCGGCAGTTTTACGTCAGTGAAGTGGTGTTTCCACTGAGCCACATGTATCCAGGGCTCCTGTTTAAGGCACAGCCTTCTCTGCAGCCTGGGAGGTGAGGAGAGTCCACCTGATGTTGAAAGCTCGTTCAGCCTTCGTGTACTGTTGTCTTTGATATTAAAGGCTTGGTTTAAAAACCCGTGAGTAAAAGCATCGTGTTTTAAATATAGAAAAGAAAGTGTTTGTCTGATTCTCTGTGTGCTAAATAAAGATGCTGGTCTGCTTGTCTGTATGTGAGTTCGTGCCGGTCTATGTTAACCACTCTGTTGACATCTGATGTCCAATAACTAACCGTCAGAGTTGATCTTCTTCTTATTGTTGGATTCTAAATCTTATTAGTTTAAAAAAACAAAACTCATCCAAGTTCTGTCTTTACCAAAGAGAGGAGGTGAACATGTAGACTCTGCACTTCTCCTTTTCGCTTTCTTTACCAAATATCTAATGAAGTCAAGAGGTTAAAGAGAAAAATGTTTTTTTTAGGAAGCCATTTTTTTTAAACAATTAAGATTATTTCGTCTCACTTTCCTGAGCAGCTGTGCGTACTGCATTGTGGTTTTCACCTCTTTTAAGCAACATGTTTCAACAGTTGAGTGGAGATGGACTTTATTTTGCATCGTAGACATGCTTTCCTTGCTGCGTATGTCGGCTGTCTGTCTGCTCTCCTCTGTGTCTGGTACCTAACACTCGTCTTCCCCCTCAGCTTTGCCAGCACCCTTTATTCCATCTCTGTTTTGATGAATTTGGAAACAAATGTCGGGTGCAAACGACTGGAAGCTGCCAGTGTTTCTTCTTTCTCCACTAAAATAAGCCCACGGTATGACGGAGACGGCACACAGACTAACTCCTACATCAGCTGATGTGCTTTTATTTTGAAGGGTTTTGTTAAAGAATACAAAATAAAAATTGTACAAAGAATTTATGGACATGCATGCTTTGGGGCACTAAAAGGTTTAACATTGATGACCTCAAATGTATGGTGAGTTTCTACTCTTAAAAAGTCTGAAATAAATTAATTCAGCTGATATTTTTGGTGGTTTCTGTTCATTTGTTTTTACATCCTGAGAGTCAGTTTTTTCTAAGTTGGTTTGTTGAATAGGCTTTTAATTTGTCTTTAAATTGGCCAAATGTGTTTTTCTTCTGCTTCTTCTTTAGCTTGTAAATCAAAGTTTAGAGTTTATTTTGGAGTATTCAGCAGTAAGTTAAAACGCAGCTTAAAGTGCTTCTGTCAGACTGGACAGACGTCTCTTTGCTTATCCGCTGCGTCCTAACAGAAGGATGAACGTTCCTCTCTCATGGTTAACAGGCTGGTGATCACCCTCTTGCCTTAACACATTAACCAGAGGCTCTTCTTGCACATCTGGTGTCCCTTCTCATGTCAACATTTCTCGAACTGCGTCGGTTCCCATCATAACCTGCCACCGGCCTTGCTGCGTGTGCGTGCGTGTGTGTGCGTGTGCGTGTGTGGTGCACAGTAGTAGTTACGCTGCAGCCTACCTGACCTGCCAATGCCATACACCCACTGGCCTGCTCTCCCTGCTGCTAGCTAAGGTACCTTCTTCAGTGTGTGTCCGTGTCCTCATCACAGCATACTCATTTTATAGTGTCCGTCATTGTTTCTGTTTACTGTGTTGTGGTTTATATGTCTGTCTGTGTGCCAGCCTGTTTTCTTTTGAGTCCTCTGTTCTGAATTCAATATATTTGAGTCATAATTTACATGTTTACAGCAAATGTGAGTTCTGTAAATGTCTTTGTGTAGCACTTTAACATCAATAAATAGACAGTTATTTGAGATTCATCAGTAGAATTACCATAAACAAGGTAAACCATCATTGAGTTTGACTGGCAGCCTAAGATATATTATAGTATGGCATTAAATGTTATAAAATATATACAAGGAAAAAACATGCATTTGAACTTTAATTAAAGAAGCTAAATTAATTACCTATCTATACAGCACACGGTTTAAAGTTGTTTGTTGACCTGTAAATCGTAAAATATGTCTGAATACACTATATTGTTGTTGTCAAATGATTTTCCTGCTTTTGGAACTTTTTTGGTCAAATGTAAATTAGAAAATACTAACCTCGGCATCTCGAAGTTGTACCTGAGTCCAGTACTTCAGTAAATGTGTAACTACCACCTATGGTCACAAAGGTTGATTTCACAGCGAGGAAAGATGACCGAGGACAGACATGCTGCCTCAGACTGGAGACATTTTAAAGATCCCAGTCGTCTCAGTCATGGTCTCCTTTGTTCACATCATGAATCTCACAATGTGCTCCTTTAATATTGTGTTTATAGTGATTAAATATGCATAATGTAAAGCCATGTAAGAACACACTGTTTATAGTAATTATACATCTCCCTATATATCAGAATATAATATGTCTCTTGGTATTTGAGAAGATGCTGACTGTGACACGTGGGGACTGTCTCTGCCTCTCAGTACAGGGCCTGATTACGCCCGCTTTTGAGTGACCGAACCCCATCGTAAGTGACTGACCTCGGGTCCTCAGGGTCCTCGTGCACACATTTCCTTTTTCTATTTTCTATTATCACAGAAAACTGCTTCATTGTCATGTCGGCTTTGGGTGACGTTCGGCTGCTTTTGGGTTTCTTCCATCTCCTTTATTTGTGTGTGTGTGTGTGTGTGTGTGTGTGTGTGTGTGTGTGTGTGTGTGTGTGTGTGTGTGTGTGTGTGTGTGTGTGTGTGTGTGTGTGTGTGTGTGTGTGTG